TATGATCTATAATCGCGACGCTCAAAGCATATTCAGCAACGATACTCTGTGAGGTTGTCACAGCGCTTCTGCAAGCTTTCTGTCTGTACCAGTGAAAGTCGGTGCATTTCTTTCTTTAACTTTAGCAGAAGTGTATAAGACTTCCAAAACTTGATTTAGTTTGTAGTCATTAACACTTCCATAAACCACGGTACTACAGTGCAAATCTTTGTAGCTCAAGTGGGTTGAGGTTAGGGCTCGTCACAGAGCTGACCTCAGACCGTACTCCTTACAAATTAGTTTGTGAAGGGATACAGTACTCATGACTCTAAAACAAATGACTGGTAGCGATATTGTTTTTGACTGCAGTTTACAAATAAGAAGGCAGTAGTAAGAGTCTAGTTTGCTGCTCCACTAATCTTACTTCCCTTTTTAAACTTCTTCATCTCAAGTCTACATTGTCCAAGTTTTTCTTCGTGCGACTGTGCTCTACATCAACATGTCATGAGTCCCAGCCAAGACTCGAGTAGCGACTTCTCTCGACTTACCGGTGCTCGCAATTTTTACGTTTGGTAGGCACGCGTGAGAGCTTCTCTAGATGTCAAGCACCCCGTCGGTTTCGTTACCATAAAGGATAACAATGGAGTCAGTGATGACGAAGATGAAGACTCTGGAAGTGGCTCTGACATGTCCGAAGATGAATCCAAGTCTAAGTCTGCGTCAGCTGCCGAGGTTGACTCAGACAAGGCCGATTTCGAAGACACCTCAGACGAGCCACAGCCCAGCGATGACGACAATGATAACCCGTCAAGCAAAAAACTTAAGAAGAGTGATCTATCTTCTGTCCGCCCGTTTGCCCAAGGCAATACAAGGCGTGAGTAAAAGAAAGTGAGGCCTGTTCCTCTATCTGCTCGCCAGCTCGCCGTACGGAAGCGCATACCAAGGCATTTTTGATGAAGACGATGGCTGACTCTCACATCCGTCTGGTCAAGAGCCTCACGACGGCCGTAGACACTTTCCAGGCCATATGCACGAAGTACAAATGTGCAGCATTCCGTGGTGACCCCTACTTCATCCAGCATTTCCTCATGGGGATCAAGTACCAAGATGGCAATGATCTTACTAGCTTCTTTTTCGAACTAGGAAACTCGACGAAGAGCCACATCTGAAGCGACCGAATCTACCTTGACGGATGTCCAATAATCGCTGTATCTGTCCAATCCATGCCGAAGTCTTGGAAGGATGGTCTTCGTGTTTGGAGAGGCGTGTGTAAGTACAATTCGTACGAAGAGCTGAAGATGAGCTCTGACACCAAGGTCCGTGAAATCCAAGGCCAGGAGCGTTACAGCCTTGCGAAGGGTACACCTGAAAGCCAGGACACTAAGGACGAGTATGCCTGATTACACCAGCGCGTGACTCCGCATTGGTAGCGCAGACGCCTGTCCCATCGGATGTCTGCAGCTACTGCCAAAACGTCGTCCCAACATCCACCAATGTCGTGGTCTGCAGAAGCATTTGCGTGATAGCAATGTCAAGGCTTGAGCTGCGTGGTACCAGCAGCTACCGGGCGAACCCGTACAATCACAACCAACGCAATGACAACCGTGGTGGTGGATCACGGTATCAATGTGGCCGTGGCGGAAATCGTGGTAACAACAGCAACAACAGCAACAACAGCAACAACAATAACCCCTAGTCATCTCGCCGTGGTGAAGGGGTTATGGTCGGTATCGTCGCAAGGAAGCTCTAATCGCAGTAGTGTCCGAGGTTCAGACGGTCACCTCGGCTGTCAGTCTCCAAGCTGAAGCCAACACTGACCTTGGCACCAGCTGGACCATCGATTCACGATGCAGCAGTTACGTGACGCAGCACGCCGAATGGTTCAAGCCTAAGACTGCAGCGAGTGGAGGCATTACCGTTGGTGGAAAGTCGCAAATACCAATTGAAGCAGTTGACATGGTCCAGATCCTGATATGTGACTCCAAGTGGACTGAGCGGACGCTAGTACTCCACAATGGCCACCTTGCTCCCAAATAGTTCAACCTACTCTCGGTTGCTGCTGGTGTCAATGACCACTTCAACTTCAAGCGTACTATGTGCATGGTCCAGACCAACCAACTCTTCAGCATTAAGCCGATGATATCTGTGACTTCGAAGCTGTACCAGTTCACAGCACGTCCGGTCCAGAAGGAAGAAGCTCACGTTGCTACAACAGGTAAACAAAACGAACTTATGCTACTACACAAACGTCTCGGACAGTGTATTACAGGCGATCTCTAAGAACCAAGCGCTCACCGGACTCGACGCATTAAGCGTATCCCGTCCAGATTCATTTTTCTGCTCTGTACAAGACGATAGCCTTTGTGATCTTGCTGCAATGCATGCCGAGCCGTATTGTTCTGTTCAGTGTAATTGGTGAAAAACCATGGGGTACTTGGTATGCTCTCAGGGGCTGGACTTTGATAGCAGAGCCCCAGTCCAATCCGCCAGGCCCGTAGGTGCGTCAATGATTAAGTTGTTCCATGAACGCTGATGGTTTTGATTTAGATACTGTAGTGACAGCTAGAAGCTTGTCGTTGCCAATTATGATGTGAAAGTGCGACTTGAAAGTCTTGTGTGAAGCAAAAACGGCATCCTATGCCATTCACGCATAGCTACAAATGGCTAGACAAACTGGCATCGCTAGCCGCTTAATACTTGGCTTGAAATTAACTAGATACTGCTATTAAATGCTGCCCAAAGCTAACAACTGTGCACCTCTCTGCCTAATAAGAGCAGCATATTCTACTAAGATACTCTCTGAGTCGAAGTCGATGTTAAAATCACATCTCCAAAACATTATACCTGCAAAAACTAGTTCCTATCTGGATAGGGGGCTCATTTCCAAATAGGTCCGCTAGTGCTCAAGTCGACCGCAATAGGCCAAAACCGGTAAACCACACAGAATCAAGGTCTGACATACAGA